CGATCTGACAGGGACACGGGGGGACAGCTGGGGACACCTGGGGACACTGGGGGGCACTGGGGACAGCTGGGGACACTGGGGGACAGCTGGGGACACCTGGGGACACTGGGGGGCACTGGGGACACTTGGGGACAGCTGGGGACACGGGGGGACAGCTGGGGACACCTGGGGACACTGGGGGGCACTGGGGACAGCTGGGGACACTGGGGGACAGCTGGGGACACCTGGGGACAGCTGGGGACACACCTGGGAGCTAGGGACACCTGGGGGGACACCTGGGGACACTTGGGGACAGCTGGGGACACACCTGGGGACACGGTGGGGAGACCTGGGGACATCCCTGGGGGATACTGGGGGGTGGCACAGGGTGACAGAGGTGACACGAGGCCATGGGGGTGGCACAGGGTGGCAGGGGGGTGACAGTGACGGGGGGTGACAGCACAGCGTGGGGGTGACACTGAGGGTGCTGGGGTGACATGGGGGACGGCAGAGGGTGACACGGGGGTGACACAGGGGTGACACGGGGGGGTGGGATCAGTGGCAGCGATGGGGACAGTGGGAAGGTGATGGGGTGGCAGCGGGTGGCACAGGTGACAGGTGTGTGTCCCTGTCCCCAGGGGGTGGCAGTGGGTGACAGCCATGTCCCTGTCCCAGTGGGGTGACACAGGGTGGCAGTAGGTGACAGTGGGTGACACAGGTGACAGGTGTGTCCCTGCAGGGGCCTGGCACAGGTGACAATGCCAGGTGTGTCCCTGCAGGGGGGTGGCACAGTGACACAGGGGTGGCACAGTGACACAGTGACAATGCCAGGTGTCCTGCAGGGGGGTGACACAGTGACACAGGTGGCACAGTGACACAGTGACAGTGCCAGGTGTGTCCCTGCAGGGGGGTGGCACAGTGACACAGGGGTGGCACAGTGACACAGTGACAATGCCAGGTGCCCTGCAGGGGGGTGGCACAGTGACACAGGGGTGTCCTGCAGGGGGGTGGCACAGTGACACAGGGGTGGCACAGTGACACAGTGACAATGCCAGGTGCCCTGCAGGGGGGTGGCACAGTGACACAGTGGCACAGCGACAGTGCCAGGTGTCCTG